GTACTTCTATACTGATAGCCTCTCGAAAGCTCTAGACATTTTTTACTATAACTCCAACACATGCTTAGATGCTGTCATCCCACTTCAAACACTAAAGTTTTCCCCACATAGAAAGTCATTCATAAAGCCAAAGGATCGTAGGAAACTGAAAAGACTGTCAACAAGTTACTTCAGACGACACGACTTTAGTACACTAGGGTCAATACTTAGTACTCTTAGCTCCATCTCGCAAGCTCATAACTTGCGTATGAGAAATGAAGAATGCACCGCACTAGCCAGCACCACCAGAGTAGGTGCTCTCACAGCAATCTTAAAGAAACAAATGAATCGCCAAAGCCATAAAATTTCTCTATTTATAAACAAGGGTAAACTATACAGCAACCATGCAGACGTGTGTGAACTGTTTAACGAGGCGTTTGCAAGTCCACTTCTCGGTTTACAACCTACAATAGGACATCCTTCTTCTTCAACGCTGAAACAAATCAGTACAGTTCATTTCAATTATTCTAATATTAACCAAGCCATTAATACTCTTAAAAGCTCTAGTAGCGCTGGTTTTGACGGTATACCATCGTACCTTTATAAACACGGTGGTTCTGACATTTCCGTTTTATTACTCAAGATCTTTACAATGTCACTAGAAAGCCAAACCTATCCGGATAAATGGAAACTATATTTATGGTACCCAAACACAAATCCGGATCAAAAACTGAAGTCAACAACTATAGGCCAATCAATATTACACCCATAGTATCTAGAATCATTGAAAGAGTAATTAAAGATGATATTCTCAAACATATGCTCAGCTGCAATATTCTAAGTCCAAACCAACATGGATTCCTAAAATCCAGATCATGCATGACCTGTCACCTTGACTTCTTTAACTATATAACTAGCGGCCGAGACAAACAACAACTAGTACTAGTCATCTACTTCGACATATCCAAAGCCTTTGACCGCGTTGACCGTTTGCTTCTAATAAATAAGCTGAACTCCTTAGAAATACGTAACCCATTATTGGGATGGATTGAATCATTCCTTAACAATAGGTCCCAAGTAGTTAGACTGGGATCTGGAAATTCTAAGCTCAGTCCAGTCACTTCTGGAGTAGTTCAAGGTAGCGTTTTAGGCCCCCTTCTATTCACTCTATATGTCAACGACATATGCAGCTGTTTCTCACTTGGTAAACCATTCATCCTTGCAGATGATCTTAAAGTAGCTTACACATTCCACTGTGATGACTTAGGATACTTTCAGAATGCTGTTCAAAAAGAACTAGATCGAGTAACTGCATGGTCCTCCACATGGAACCTAAAATTCAACCTTAAAAATGTGGTTGGATCTGTTTCGGTGCACCCTCAATAAATATCAAACTGGTACTTGAATCTGCTGAATTGCCTAAACTCCAAAGTGTTGCTGAACTAGGACTCAGGTACTCTAGTGACTTGACATTTTCTGAGCAAGTGGCGACACAGACGCGTAAATCGAGGATGCTCTTAGGATGCATACTCAGGAATTTCCACAACCACGAGGCGAAACTATTATTATATAAAACTTGTGTCAGACCACTACTTGAATATTGTCCACTTATTCTCAGAAGCACTCGCGTAAGTGACAAACTTAAAATAGAAAGTGTCCAACGATACTTCACGTCTAAACTACTAGGATTTGACTGCGAAAAGGACTACACATCAAGGTGTATAACTCTAGGTATCGACCCACTCTGGCTGAGACGACTCAGCATTAACCTAACATTCTTCTTTAAAATCTTGCATAAAATATCATTCTCGGACAGTAAGGAGACACAGTTCTCACCGGAAGGCTCTTACAACCTTCGTAACCAAAAGTGTACAGTATCTAGGAAAAACTGTAAAACAGCACTCCGTGCAAACTTCTTCATAGTCATGTACTCTAAGATCTGGAACAGTTTATCCCTTGAAATAAGGACCTGTCACTCTACTATAACCTTCAAACGCTTGCTATATAAACTGTTTCATCCCAATGACTATGCCAATCAGACCGCATGAGCTATTAGAACACTATAACGCCTAGACTCATTACTAAATATTATGACACTAAATAAACTCTAAGACTTCGCAAAATTACATGAAAAACAACTAGATTATGGGTAGTGTTTACTATACTACGATATACATTTATAAACATTTATATATACATAAAAACATCAATGTTCTTTTCATGTTCACATGCTTTCTCTTTCTGATATACTGTTGCTGAGCGTACTTTCCATTTACCTCCTGGTCGAGGTCGAACAACCCAACATTTAAACTGAAATGACCATTCAAGTAAATTCAAACTCAAATTCCATGAACGATCCGATGCTACCATTTGAAGACGCTGGCCAACATTCTGTACAAGGAGTATTCTTGATCTGAAATAAAGAAGCAACTGGTTTTCAAACAGTTTTCAATGTATTACTCAACTTACGTGTACAGTCTGCCATGCTGACACAAACGGCGCCAATGGATAGTTCTAGAATCGACCTCGGCCCCATTCCATGAAGTAAAACAGTCTAACATGACCTTATCTAGTTTTCGTATCCATGATCAAATTTCTTTCCTATTATAAAACTACGATTAGACTGCTGAAAAAATGGAATAAATACATCACTGACCTCAAAATAAAACATCAATAAACTTTAACTCAAGGATGCTGTTCACAACAAAGTTATATAGGAGAATTGACTTCAAGCTTTATTTTTCCCAGATATTTGTATTACATTCATCTGATATCTGGGTTTTTTGTTAATGCGAAGACAATATTTCTATATCTCTTTATGTGTTACACAGACAGACTATTTTGCAGACTGTTCCGACTGACTGTAATGTCAGAAAGAACAAACAAACTGTAAATTCGCCATACATCGAAATATGTGTAATTTATGTAATAACTTATCCATGCCTGTACAATTGGTATGTTCCTGCATAAACAGGAATAAATAAATATATATAATATTCTGGTTGACAGGCACATGGACTCATGTGAGAAATGGGCTCAATTAATTTTCTCTGACATGACTTAGAAATACGTCCCAGTTATAATGAGGAGTATCAGTCGCTAAGTTATACTGGTATCTGTACATGTATTCACCAAGGTGAGAAGTTATTTTTAATCGTTCATCTCTCTTATCCTGTTGTGTAGTCCTCCCCAAAGCCCTCGGTTGAATTACTATGGTTTCCACTAAGAGGATAGACGGCTACTTACCAGGAAAATGTGAATAATAAAACAAATTAAAACAAATGACATCAACTCTAAATCTATCCCTGGGTGTAAGCAAACCTTAATCCTGACCCTGTACTACCCAAACCTTAATCCTAATCGCAATCATATATCAGTTATGACAATTATAGGTGCCGTTAGCCAACGACTGGAATGCGTTCAAGGTTACTGTAGCGTCCGTATTCCTGGGACGCTATTGTTGAACTTCGCCGTGAAAACTAGTTTGCAAGTTTCAATACACAGTAATTCTGTTTGAGTAGGAACAAATAGAGATTTAGTATTTTTAACAGATGACGAACATGAGGCGTCCACAGATTAATCATTCAAGTAACGGTCATCTGAAACTCGACGAAGAATTCCTAATAAGGAGGTATCAGGGTGGCACTTAGACCTTCAAACCAACGCAGGGATAAACTATGTAGTCCAGATGACCTTGAGCTGGCCGTGGTTTCAACTGAAAAGTTCACTGAATTTGTCGGGAAATAGGATTTCAGCTGGATGAATGGCCCAGAGAAAAATTCGGCGACTTTAAAGCATTAGCAAATACATGATAGTACAAGAGGATGGGGCTGAGTTAATATTCTAAAGAGTAATGCAGGCAGTTATGGGCAGACATTGATCACCGGGTCTGTAATAATCGGCTCTACATTTAAAGATCGATGAGGATGATGAATGGCAACACCAATAAAATCGAAGTATAGGAACTAGTATAACTATATAAACAAAGCCTGAAGGTTAGTGACGTACTGGCTCTGCTATCGACATGATGCCGTGGAAAGTTCACAAAGGCCACATGAGTTCCTTCATGTGGTTGTAGGAGATAAATTGTGCTCGAAGCATCATTGATAAGCATAACTGTGGCGCTCTGTCTTTCATCAAATAAAATTATTCCCTGATTGCATTATCTACCACCACAACGCCCAAATTTTGTTTCTAAATTTTGCGAATAATGCCAATGCCTTCAAACTGTTGTTTTTAAGGAAGGGGATCTTTAATTTGATTCTCATTAGGTTCTGGGCTCCATTCGTGTTACACACTGTACTTACATTCCTAATTGGTGGGCCCTACGATTCCCGATAAACTCCCATCTCCTGCTCACAAGGTCTCCCCCAAGTCCTCTTCCAAGTTCGCAGTTTCCAATTCGGGTCCTACTCAAACGCCTGGCTTTTGAAGTCACTCAGTAATCGTCTCCTAAGTGTGTGTCTGATCTATCTTCATTTCCTTTGGCACATGTGTCGGACAGTAAGCCATTGAAGCAAGCTGTTAGTGAAAGTTTCCATTAACCATGCAAAGACACTAACTTGATAATCATGTTGAAACCTCGATTGTTGTTCTTCATGGCATGTGCAGAAGACTTCCAGAGTGACTTTAGAATCGTGAAGGTTAGCCTTGTGTTTGCGATCCTGCCTTTGACAACTTCAACTGTACGGCCTTTAGCTGAAACGATACTACCTAGTCAAAAGGGAGAGGTGACCTAAACTAAGTTCTACCTATCGACAGCAAACAGTACGACTTTATTAACTATTTTATTTACTGGCATCTATACCTTATATTTTCTGAACAGATAGAGAATTCCTTGAAACCAATAGTGTACAGATGCAAACTTTCATAAATTCTAAAATTGATGTTTTCTGTCCTGAAGTATCATTTGAAAAGGTTTTCTTCTGCTAGTCAATCACATAGTATGTGGTATCTGTCACTTTTGCAGCTGTTTGATTGCACCAATATTTGCATCTGTGTTCAGTTGTCCCACGTAAACAACCTACGGCGCGCTGCATTTGAAACTGAGCTTAACACGTTTCACATTTTTAATAGACTTGTGAGTTTGGATTCTAAGTAAGTTATAGGTGCCTTTCTTGGGTGTTAAAATAATTTATAATGTTTTATTACAATTATTTGAATCCTGCTTCTATTTTTTGAATGCTAAATCCCGAACGCAATCGAGTATATGCACCTGAGGTGTTTAATAATAATAGTAATGATTTGCTTTATTCCAAAACAGTACATGTGATACAGAATGGAATTCTCAGCATTTTTACTACAGTATTGCATCCAGTTAGTACATCATCAATAAATAGAATTCTACACAGATTAAGGAAATCTCAGTTCATTATGACAACAACAGATTGGCATGTCGGTAGCAAAGGTAAAGCTGAACAGTGTTAGGTGTTAAAAAAGTAGGAGTTGTCATATTTACTGGCGTAAGCGAGAGAAAGAAACAAGGCAGCACATAACGGAAAAAAAGAGAGAAAAGGAAAAGAAAGAAAATGTTGTGCCTATAAATGATATGAGCTGGAAAGACGAGGTCCAGTTTTACTACTGACTATTTAATGAATTATAGGTGTCACGCCTAATGCTTTCTTTATAACACTGGTTTTTCGGATTATTCACGAATCCATATCAAGCAGTTGGAAAATCGTTGGTTCGACCGTGCAGTAAGCATCACATACACTATTTTGGTTTCACGACGGAAGACAAATAAGTGAGACAGGGAGTTAAATAAATAATGTGCGTCGGTGGCACAGTGGTTAGGACTCTCGCCGACCATGCACATGGTCCGGGGTTCGATCCCCTGCCGACGCACACTCAGTATCCATGGTCGGCCTGTAAATTTGGGCTACCGATATCCATGCTGAAAATTCCATACTTGTACTGAAAATACGGTGTGGAATCAAGCTGTAATCAAAATAAAAAAATAAAATCAATAAAAATGTCAGTAAAAATTTTGAGCACTGTGGATTAGGCCAAGTAAATTATAATTATATTTCAATAGTTCACAAAATGATAAGTTTTTTGTTTTTGATAATATTTCGAGAAAAGTTACTGCTTGTGATCACTTACTGTTGAAATTGTTTTGTTTTTAATTCTCACTTGTTGATTTGTACTCATATAAATATATATTCTGTGTACCCAGAATTATATTCCAGGTTGTTGACATCGAGGCAAGATTCCCAGCTGAGACTTTGTCCGCATATTAAGTCGCCGTTTTTTTTGGTGAGGACTTAGCTAAAGTAGGACTAGATGGGTTTGTCATAAGCATCAGTATTTAAAACATGCAACTGACCTTGTTGATATTTTTAGTTGGGATAAACCTATTTAGATAATTTATAAAGTAAAAAATATCTCTGAAGTCAAAGTATCATAGCGGAAGTCAAGGTCTGTCAAAAACTGACCTTCAAGGACCGGTTAGATATAGCGTAAGGTCATTCCAAATCAACTGAAAATATCAACGTCTAACTGAAGTTGATATTTTTTAAAAAGCTCCACGTCTGCAGTAGACCGGTTACAGCATCAGCATACATGAAAAATTTCTTATTGAGTATTTATAAATTATATTTGGTAACTCTCTATTAACAGACTACCTATCAAAAATCAACTATTTTGTGTCAGATGCTTCTGCATAGCAGTCATACTCACTGAAGCTGAAAAATATTAGAGAAACTTAATCCTTTAGACCTTGTTTTCCTTGTACTCCTGGAGTATGACAGAACTAAAACGAGTACTGCAAATTGAATCGGATGATTTTTGGGAAACACACCAGTTGATTAGTAAGTAGACTTGCACATCACTTAATATTTTAGCAAATATGGGTGTGGATATTTACTCCTAAGTAGTGAATATATTTTCAGGCAGTAATGTTTTTTATGTGTCAAAGATAGTATGTGGTTTGGTTTTCATAGTATACATATTTAGAGTATAAATTTAAAGAACCTGGTGACAATTCCAGGTCAGTGAAAATATTTTACATGTATTCCCACATGAGGTAGACTTTTAATATCACCACAAGTCTTTATTTAGTTATACATCCTATTCTGTGTCTTCCTGTCATTCATTTCAGTTATTCTACTGTGTTCGCCTTTTCATGTTACTGTCAGACTAAGCGACTTCAAGTGATGTATTTCTCTGTAAGCTCCAAGGTTGTTGTATATTGATCCATCTACCCCATATATCACATACTAGATACATTACAAATTTCGTATGTGAGTCCTGCGATCCTTCTCTATTAAATGTAGGATAATGCTGCATAACTGGACTACATTATAGTTAGGGAGTGGGATGGCTGGTCGTGTTGACCAAGTCAATTATTTGGGGGAGTTGTATCAGACGTTATGGACGAAAACTCAGCATAGATACAGAAGGCTCGTGTGGTATTTGATAGCTAATGTCATCTTCAGCATAGATGTAATATCTAGCTGTCGATCTAGAGACGTGTGTGCTACACAACAGTTCATTCGGTACTTATTCAAGGCTGTGAGATATGACCATCGAAAGTGGCGGACTAACTGTGGTAAGTGGTGTAATATAATGAGTAATGTTGAAGTCAGTTGTATTGTTCTGTAAGGAGGGAAAATTAATCAAAGAGTTTGGGAAGCGGCATTGATTGAGATATCTGGGGCACGTATCATGCAAGCCAAGGGGTCGAGCTTGGCTTTTATGAAGTGTGGTTACTTCAACTGCGAATTTCTACTTTGGAGAATCAGTTCAGTTTGTAAAACGGTAATATTTTACTATCTTTTATGTATTCTGTTTAATCTTTCAATATTCGATAGCGAAATCGTGTTTGCTATTACACAAATGACGAGTATGTTTATATAAATAAACTATTTTTCTTCTACGTGAACTTATGTACCGCCTGTTCTCTTAGGGCTCGAATTTGTTTTTTTATTAAGTGACTTGGTTACTGTTGCTTCTAAAGGCTTTTAAAAAATTTATATTTGTTTAGCTAATCATTAAAAATGGCGACTATGGCTGAATTTATACAACAGTCTGAGATCAATGATGGAATACGTTTCTCATGGAATGCATGGCCTATTTCTCGACTAGAATCTGCCCAGTCTGTAGTACCTATTGGATGTTTATACACATTACTCAAAGAACGTTATGATTTTCCACCGATTAATTATGAACCAGTATTCTGTACTCGATGTCGTGGGATTCTTAATCCATATTGTCCGGTAAGTTTGCTTCTTTCTAGGGTGGTTAGAAATATCAGTGTAATAATTCACTAGGTTTCCTGGTATTACGCTTGTTTGCATACTGCACTTTTGAATAAAACTTGTTCTGTGTGCATCATCGTACAGATGGGCTCATATTTTGTGTTGAGACTTAGTTTTAGTGTTAATTTTTGTGTAAAGTAACTAACTCAAGATATGTTTTACTCCATTCAGTGATAATTACGGTTGAACCATGTGATACATGCTCCATATTTTGAAATTTATCTCACGATATTGGTGTGTTTGTTGTTAAATTTGAATATTTCTTTTATTGAAATTCAGTGTATGATTTAAGTTTCAAAAAACATAATTTTAGTTGTGTACTATTGCGTCGGTGATTCAGCGATTGAATGCTCGTCGACCATGCACCTGGTCCGGTATACGATTCCCGACCCGCACACACTTTTACCTCCCCTAGCCGCCTGTAAGCTTGACGAAGGGAGACGGTTGAGTGTAAGGTTAGCAATCTCCGCCTCTTAAAAAAACCACTGCTACTAAAACTTGAAGCCTTATGTTCCACTCGGAATGTAAAGAAATAAAATAAATAAAATAAAAATCTAAATATGGTCCGCATCTTAAAAATCTCAGCAGCAGGATGAGTTCATATATCTGGAAAACCCCTTTAGTTACTAGTATTATTCAGATAATCAACTTGGAATTCTCTGGACTTGATTGTTTACGTTTCAAAAACTCTTCATACAACCGACTAGTGTACAGTGAAGAAAAGAATAACAATTTCCGTTTTGTATTCGAATTACAAAAAGCAGGATATTCCAATGATACTTCACAAATTTCAAATAGATGGATTCAAAGTTTATTTCATTTTAATTGCTATTAATTGTGGAATAACTAAGTATCGTTTGAGTTGCCTTTATATGCAGTCAAAATGAAAACAATCTCTCCATAAATTTAAAGTTTAACTGCAGTCTTCTTGACAGCAGGTGTACGCCACTATCAGATGGTCTTTTTAACTGTCTCTGGAGATATTTAACTGAAAAACTAACATTTCTGTGCTGTTTCACCTCCGGTTTGGAATAATAAAAAGTGATGGTGGTTCGCATTTCACTGTTTGAAATATTTTTGTGCATAGTTCTTAAAGTATTAATCAAGACCTCAGAGGGTTCCTTTCGGTTATGTATTTTTTTTCCTTCACGTTCCCCAGTGGAACATAGGGCTTCAAGCTAGTAACCTGAAGTTTCTTTAGCAGTGTTTATTTTACAGGATGGAGTTGCTAGCCTCATGCCCAACCTTCCCTCTTTACCAGCATTATTTCTGGCTCAGCGAGGTAAAGGAGTGCGTCGGCCGGGGATCGAACCCCGGACCATGTGCATGGTCGGCGAGTGTCCTAACCGCTATACCACCGACGCACGGTTATGTATTATTCTTACTTATTTTATTCGTTTGCATTCCGAGTGGAACATATGTCTTCAGGCTTTTAGAACTCTGTCAGTAGCAGTAGCTTTATTCTTGCAGGGTTCGGTTGCTAGTCTCACGCCCAACATTCCCTCTTTACCGGGCTCACTATCATCTATGCTAGGGTTAGGAGTGCGTCGGCCCAGGATCGAAACCGGAAACTTATGCGTGGTTAGCGAGCATTCTACCGCTGCACTACCAACGCAGCCTATCCTGTCACATGCTCTGATGGTGTTCCCTTGACTTTCGTTGCCAGATCTGCCAAAGGCTTTAGGATAGTGCGTGACCTAATGGTTGTGTGCAAGGTTTGAGGAAGTTGGTATGCTATATGCATGCGCCTCGTCCTGATGTTTTTGTGGCCGAAGTGGTCTAGTGGATAACGCTTTCGTGTTTGAAACTATGGGTGCTTGGTTTGAGCCTCAGTGAGAAAAACATTACTGACTCACTGGGGAGTGCAGGTACATCCAGTGACGAGTCCCAAATAGGAAGAAATGCGCATCCCGGATTCCAACTCTGGTCACTATTCGAGTTATGTGGGGTTTATGAAGAAGGTACAAGTAAGCTGGGAAAGCAATATGATTTTACTTTGATATAATTTTAAACAGTAAATTGTGATCAAAACATTATTGAATGAATAATAGTGTCACTGTATGCTATGTCAAACAAAATTATGTAACACGGAATCAACACTCATCATATTTCCAAGTTCTCTCCTTTATGTGCAAGTTAGGACAAACAAGTTATTTTTTTCATCATGTTACTTAGACTTGTATGCGTCAGTGGTCCAGCGGTAGAACGTTCGCCAACCATGTATATGGTCTAGGGTTCGACTGCCAGCCTATGCACTCGTAAACCTCTCTAAGCCGGTAGTAAGCCTGTTGAAGAGGGAGGGCTGGGCGTGAGGCCAACATCCCCACCCCCGTAAGAACAAAACTAATTATACTGGAACTTTGAAGCTCTTTCTTCCACTCGGAACTCAAAGGGATTCATGTATAATATAGTAATACTTCATTTTAATTTTGGATTGCTTCAACTGTCATTAATTTCATTCCCTGATTTAATTAATTAATTAATTTTATTAACCTTAAGTTTGATATCAGGAGTCGGACATGGACGTGTTGCCTATGCACAATGCGTAATAACTTCCCACCTCAGTATGCTGGAATGACTGAACAGAAGTTACCTGCGGAATTGATGGCTCAGTTTACCACACTAGAATATACCATCCCGGTAAGTTACATATAATTCACTGGCTTATTTATTGATGCATGTAGTGGTGTCAAAACATTTGGTAAAAGATGAATATGTGTTTAATAAATCCCATGACGTAAAGGCAGCATTTACTACTCTTTTCTCATGAATTTCCTTTATATATATATAATCTTTACATTGGTCTTTAGAAAATATTTGACTGAAATTCAGTTACACAGGCTTTATAAGAAATTTGATCCGACGATTGTTGTAAATCAATAAGCATAAATATATAATAAAGAAGGATTAAAATACCCGTTTAACATTCACTTGCTTTTCTCTTTTATAGATGAATTTCTTAATCGCTTGAATTGATTAGTTTAAAAGAATATAAGAATGGTTATTCAAAAAACCCGTTGTATTTCTATGTAGTTAAGAACTAGTCACAGGTATTGTGTTAGGGCTAATAATGTAACTTGGCTTCTCAAACCTCAATAGGTGGAGGTTAGGCGTTGACTGTTAGTTAGGTAAAGAAGGAGAGTCGATCTATGACGTTATAAAGGTACATCGGTTGAGATGGTTAGGATATGTGTTACGCATGCATCTCCCTGGCTGTCGATCGTCTTCGTCGACTTACAGTCAATGTTAGCTGACATAGGATCGATGAGGTTGGACAAGAGTTCGTGTGGGTGGTCAAACGGGAACATGGCTTCATCTGTCAATGAAATCCATATACAGTTAGTTTAAACAAGCTAGCCAACCAGCCACGTAGGGAGGTGTAGACTATTTGGGTGAATGACTGGTTGTTGTCTTCGGGATGGTGAGAACCAACGAAGGCTGACGACAATTGGTGATATGCCTCGAAGTCGTCGTTGTCAATGGATGAAGCAAATGCATTCACTCTTTGTGATGATTTGTCATATTGAATAAAACTATTGTTATTCCATATTATTACTACTATTATTTTTCCCTCACTGACACTGGTGTGTATTATCTGTCTTTTGAATCTGTGTTTACACTTTTCTGTGATTTTGTGTGGTACGTGGAGAGTGGCCAGGTGAACTAGTGCACATCAGTGCAAAGTAGTTCTGTGTTCAAACCAATCAGTCGATAGGTGGATGTGTTTTCTAATCCTTTTCGAGTGATTGAAGGTCAGACGCCTTACCCAATAAGCCACAACCTTTAGCCTACTTCGAAGTCTACTGACTTACTGTGTAACTAACTCGCTTTTGAACTTAAGTATGAATAGAGTAGTCAATTAAATGAGCATTCCCGTCTTCTTAAATGTAGTATTGATTACTTGTTTGTTATTGCTGTTGTTGTTTACTTTTGTAGAAAGTTCAACCAGTCCCGCCAATATTTGTTTTTGTCGTGGACACGTGTATTGAAGAACCTGAATTCACTCAATTGAAGGTAAGTAAATAATTTAGACAGTTTGTTACTTACTAATCTCATTTCACTAATTAATTAATTCATTAATGTATGCCAGTCTTTATTTTATTTTTTAGCAAAATTGATTTTCTCAGGCTAGGATATACTGAATACTTCGAATGTGTTGTATGTCCACTTCAGTGTTGATATTTTTAAGAATAATAGTCCTTAACCGTCTTAGGGTGCATTTTCCTATGTTACGGTGTTTGTCAAGTTGCCTGACACTGAAGTAATTAAGGTTCAAGAGATAACCTACTCTGTAAGTATATTCGGACTTGGCTTGCTGACCTTATATCAATTCGAGTCCGACAAGTACTGGGTAGCTTATATATATTATTGATTGAAATGAGTAGTTGGAAACCATTCATGTTAGATAGACAGTAGTGATTACTTTCCTTCACGTTCCCAGTGAAATATAGGGCTTCAAGCTAAAGGCTTGAAGTTTCTATAGCTTTGGTGTTTATTTTTACGGGATGGGGTTGCTAGCCTGCCTCATATCCAACCTTCCCTCTTCATCAGTCTTATTGTTGGCTTAGTGAGGCACGGCCTGAACACCATAGGACACCATGTGACCCATTTGAGGTCGACCTCTTCAGGGGTGTGTCTGGGAGAGATTGAGTTCAAATAGTCGAATCGATTCAAACTGCCCAATTGAATCACTTTATATTTTTTGTTCAACTATCGTTTCATTAAGAAACAACAGAAGAATCATGAGAAGTAATAATCACATAAAGGTCATGAAAGAGGGTAGTTATGTAAGCTTGATGATGAATGTATAACAAATGAAGTTACAGGATTCATCACGAGTTGATATCGGTTAGAGAACCATTGGGACAACCAGCTACAGGGAGTAATGAACAGTTGTTCCGTCCTAGTGCTTGTGACTCTTCAACAGTACGCACCCACCGACCGATGTTCAAACCCAGGACCTTCCCATTATTAGGCGATCTTGTAAGTCATTCAACCACTGGGACCCGACCCAATGGTCCATGAATTCCGACCACTGCCAATTCGTGATATATATACTTAGCGCAACTGCCAGGCAGTAGTGTCATGGCAAATGACAAATAAGTTTTCTAACTATACATTGCCGAATCAAAATAAGTGACTGCTTCTTTTCACTTCATCCGCTTTTCTTAATGTTCAAATTATTACAAGATGAGAAGCCATTCAATGGGAATGAATATCATCTAAGTATTTTGTTGTTCTTATAATGTCTGTCTTTCTTTCCTATTTATTGAAGAATCTAAGCGTTTTTATATTGTCTTCTATGCTGTTAACTGTTTGACTGTGTATAACATGGATGTTGGAAATATTATTGATTTGTGTTAAAATTCATTTAGGGGATGATAATCCAGTGTTATGCAATAGGACTACTTATTACTACTTCCTTATTGCTTACAGCAGTTTTTTATTGTTGGTAAAATTACAGCTTTCCTTCATGATAAAAATCCCTAACCGAACATTTTAGTAAAAATAAGACAAATAGTTCCACAAAAAGGGGCTTTTGTCGGCGGATTCATTTTCCTCTCTAACTAGCTGTACAATCGCATTTATATACAATAATATTTCATAAAGGAGGGCGACGGGTAGTAACCAAAAGTGATGAGTAGTCATAAGCATAGTTGTTAAATTAATCAATGCATAGGAGTTGAATAGGTGAATCAGTTACGAAACAGGATGAATAATGTAATGAGTGAGTTGTAATCAGGATGCATATAGAGACGAAGAAAAATGTGGAATTATGTAAGAGCGCTAGAGAAATACAAGAGTTATAAGGAGTTATAAAGATAAGCAAACAAAAATCAGGTTAGTAGAAAAGAAAAAGGTTGTTGCCATGATAGTAGAAGTGGTTGAATCATTTTCTTTTGTATTCAGAGCTCCGGTTTCTTTATCTGAATTACTAAAACGTCAGCAGTGCAAAGAAGGCGAAAGCGTATTGCCTTTGGTAAGTTATCCTTGACTTTGTAGATTACTTTGTTGTAGACGTTTGTTGAGATGGAATGACCAGTGTTGTTGACAAGATGTTCGATTATCGCACTCCTTATAGAGCTCCTGCTACCTTTCTGCACCTGTGGGGTGGGATAATGTTCTTGAACCCTTCTGGACAGGATAGGCCTCGAACGACCAAGTATACCTGGCTGCACAACAACAGATGAACTGATATATACACATGGAAGTAATCAGATGCGAGATTTTATCCTATGGGCTTCTGCAGACTAATGGACGCCTGGAGAACACTACTGTCAGCGTTCTTCTTAAAAAAAAACCGAAATTTTCCTCTTAAGGGTTTCATTGAGTAGGTCGAAGTTCATGTGAAGTTTCTTTTTTTGACACGCATGACGTCTCTTGTCTTTGGAATTTCGGCTTGATGTTCTTGCCAATAAATCATGGTGGATATCCGTTTTGAATGAAGATTTCTTTGAAAAAGTGTAATTCCTTCTCCAGAGAATCAGGTCTGCACACATATATGTATATATGTAAACATTGTTTTGATGTTAGGCGTTAGAAACAGTTAATAAATAAGAAGGAAACCACAAATTTCTATTATGCACTTATTGGCTATCATCATCAGTAGTGTGTAGGTGTAACCTTTAAGGAAATTAACATCGGATCGATATAATTCGAACCTGTGACAATCAATAACAAGTTCAGAGACTTTGGTATTCTCAGTTATTATGATCGTATGTGACTGTATGCTAAACCAATCTGTGCTCAATAATGACTAATGTGTTTCTTCAGTCCCTTGTGTATTGATTGAGCAGATATGTAGCTCATTAGCTTAAGCCCTCGATTTCCAACCAGTGGGTTTAGGTTTCAGATTTCACTCCACTAACTTTCAGCTTGTGCAACTGGCTAAGGTCATCAGTGTCCGGTACGGAGTACATTGGAAGAACAGAAAGAAGGGTTTTTATCCAGTTTTTCAAGCATATCCCACGAAACTTATGTTTGAAGGGAAGCAGATAATCTCAAAGTGCACTTACAAGACACACCATCTAGATTCAGGGGTCATTTCATCACGATTTCTAAATCCTTCAAAATATTAAACATACAAAGGACAGGAGATTTACTGCAACTTGCTGAAGCAGTTGCAATCAAGCGTTTCAAACCAAACTTTTGCATACGGAAAGAGACTGTAGGCAGTCTTTCATTCCCTTGATAACTATCTGTATTTCGATTACAGTGATTAGTCAATCACATTAGTGATTTCAGCTCGCTGAGTAAGTTTGCACTCTTATGAAATATAACGTTCTTGTGTTGCTCTGTAAACTTACAGGCTAATACTGTTTATGAAGTTTTTCTGTTTTCAGTCTTCTCCTCCCCTCCCTCTCTTTTGCTCTTTTGAGAGCATATAAATTGATGGTAACTTAAACTAAAGCAAACTGAAATATGTTGCTGACATTTTTTATATCCATTGTAATTTCAGGTAGTCTACAGCAGCTGATGAGTAGCTGTCAAATAGAATGATGATATCATTACATACTACAAATCTGGCCTTTCTTTATTTCTTTCTTCCTTCATTGCAATTTATTCAGGGAACCAAGCTTATGAAACTAACTTACTTACTTACTTTTACTTTACTTCGGCTATCTCCTGCGGAAGGATGAGCCGGCTTCATGAACATCTCGAATCATCGCTGCCCAGGCGCGGCGATCTGTTGCAAGGTTTTGCGACAAGGTAAGAGAGTTCATGAAGTTTCATGGGAATTTGGTACGAGTGATGTCCCCAGAATCGCTCGGCCTTTTGTTTGAGAGTGCAACTCTAGCCTTTACACAACCAAGTGTGACCTACAAGGCAGTAGGAGTGGAGTAGGGAGTCCACTATCCATTGGCAGCCGGTGACCGGAGTTCGGTTCATACGCCTTTTTGAATGGGGCCAGACATCCAGGACATCCAACAAGCCCTTTGTCCATACGTCTGCCGGTGAGCTCCAGTGAGATTCATACGCCAGTCGTTGGAGGTTTGGAATCAGGGTTTAGCCATCTCCCCTAGACTGTCATCCAATGGACAGTCAACCCGGTGAAGAGCGCCGGGCATCCGCTTTCGCCCTCTCACTTTGGTGAAAAACACCTCCGCCACGTGAAGGCAGTGAGTAGGACTTCCTCAGGAGAGGCTATGTAAGACGCCTGGTCATATGGGAGCATTTCAAGAGGTGTGCGGAAGGGTGGCCAACCCGCAGCGCAAGGCACCCACCCCCGACCATCCTGAGGCTTTGGAGGCTGTTGTATTATTATTATTATTGAAATCTTTCAATGAAGTATTTACATTGTTTGATTTTGTTTATTTCCATTTTTTATCAGGAGTCCATCCAGCTGTCATTGAGTTTTCTACCGCCTCAAGCATTAGTCGGTTTAATCACTTTTGGGAAAATGGTACATGTTCATGAATTAGAAGCAGGACCAATAGCTAAATCATGGGTATTTAAAGGAACAAAAGACTACACAGGAAATCAAATTCAAGTAAGATAAAACATAAAACAAATCGTATTTAGAAATTTTCTTTTGAATATATATTCATATTTAGTTTACATGCCGTGTTATTGTTGTTTACTTTATGGATCTATCACGCCATCTCTGATGTAGACGTGATATGCTACCAGCTATCGATCAAAAGACGTGTGTATTGCGCAGCAGCACTTCTCTCCATCCTCGGTTTATGGCTGGCTGCCAGCGAGACATGGCCAATGAAAGTGGAAGACATGAAAGGGCCTGGCTAGCTAGTTAGCTGTCTTTGATCATAGATGTGTGAACAGGGTGACTAATATTGAGGTTAGGCGTCGAGTTTTGTCTGAAGCGATATTGGTTGAGATGGTTAGGACATGTGTTACGCATACATCCCCCTGGCCATCGATCGCCTTCATCGACCGACAGTCAATGTTAGCTGACATAGGATCGATGAATCTGAGAAAGACTTAGTGTGGATAGTCAAACGGAAGCATGTCTTCTTGAGTTAATAAAATCCATAACAGTTGAAACCATCCAGTCACGTAGGAAGGTGTAGACTACTAGTCTGGCTGGTTGTTGACATCGGGATAGTAAGAACCAATGAAGGTTGGAGATAATTGGTGATTTTACTCAAAATCATTGTTCACAGTGATGGCTGGCTCATGCGCATTCACTCATTGTGATGATTTGTCATATCTAGTAGATTTCTATTGTTCTTGCATATTACTACTATTCTGTGTCCCTGACTGACACTTGTGTTTATAATCTTTCTTTTGAATCTGTGTTTACACTTTTCTGTGGTTTTGTGTGGTACCTGGAGAGAGAGAGAGAGTGGCCAGATGAACTGGTGCACATGAGTACAAAGTAGTTCTATGTTGAAACCAGTCTGTCAGTTAGTTTGAAATAGACTTCGGCATTTCGTCAAATTGACTTGCATCTTTGTAATGCCTAACCGAAAAATTGTTTAATGGTCTATATTGGATGTTGGCTATCGTCTAATGCTTGTACGTGAATATCACTAATACAACCGATTAGAGTTGTGTCGGATAGTCAAATTGTACTGGTTCACTGTATTGGTCCAGGTAATCTTTTATTTCCTGTTGAGTAGTCTTGGATTGGACGAAAACACTCGGTTTGTACTAACCTGTCAGAGACACTCTTGTGGCCCAATGGCCTAATGGAAAGTAATTTGGTGTTCAGTGAAAGGATGGGTGTTGGGTTCAAAGTTCAGTGGAAATATCATTACTCACTTGGTGGGGATTTGGATACACCCACCTAACGAGTTCCAAATGGTGCGGGACGCGCATTATCAACTCATCATCAGCAAAATAACGTAGCGATTTATACTAGTCTGTCAGAATTTAGTTACCTGCATCATATTTCGCATGTACCATGGTGTAATTCATACATGGATTGTGTGTATGAGTTAGTGATTCCATTTAGACGTTTAGATAGATGGTAGCAATGCGGGATTCAGAATGGGGGGATGCATTGGCAGGTAGTCCATTGCTTAAATCAACAATAATAATTATTTTGCTTTATTCCAAAACAGTACTTGTGATACAGAATGGAGTTCTCAGCATTTTACTACAGTATTGCATCCAGTTAGTGCATTATCAATAAATAGAATTCTACAAAGATTAAGGAAATCTCAGTTCATTATGACAACAACATATCGGCATGTCGGTAGCAAAGCCAAAGTTGAAGAGTGTTTGGAGGTGTTAGAAAAGTAGGTGCTATCATATTTACTGGCGTAAGCGGGAGAAAGAAACAAAGCAGCACATAACGGAAAAAAAGAGAAAAAAGAGAGAGAAAAGGAAAAAAAACTAAATGTTGTACCTATAAATGATATGAGTTGGAAAGACGAGGTCCAGTTGTACTACTGACTACTTAATGAATTATAGGTGTCACTCCTAATGCTTTCTTTATCGCACAGAACACGAGCTAAGTAGGGTATGGTTGAGTTTTTGTACTTGCTGGTGCGAGCATATAGTTTTCTAAATAGGCTTCTGGTTTTACCTGATGAGATGCAAGGGGAGAGTTGTGAGTGAAGAGGGTGGTGTGAGTTAGATGAAATGGATTTGGCCCATGTTTCACATGAGTCCATGTGCCTGTCAACCAGAATATTAACAAGCTGGTTAAGTGGCACATTGCTTACCCTGCTGACAACCTTTAACATCCTGTGTAATATGTTATAGTCTTTCTTCAGTAGCCCGGGAGAAACTAAGAGGGACCAATAATAATAGGCAAAATGCGGTAGTTAACGAGTTGTAGGAGTAAGGGTTGGGTCATACCAGAATGTCTTGACTTCTTGATGTAGAAGGTGAGACGGAATATTTTCCTAGAAATCAAGATATGAGACGACCAGGAAAGATCAGCAGATAGAATGGCGCCTAGGTATTTAATTTCCGACTTGGCTTCTATTTCAGTGCCATCAATGTTGCACACCTCGTGAGAGCCAACCAGTTTGTTTAGGTCGAATTTATCCCTAGAGGTGAAGTTGACTGTTTGACATTTGGAGGGGCTTTAGGTTAGACCGTTTTCCATGGTTATTGAAACACTACTTTCTGAATGAGTATAGAAAACATGAAAATACTTGGGAGATAATATTCCTTTTTGTCACAGCAGAGTATTTAGAATCTCACTGACACGAAATTATTCGAAGTACGTAGGTGAATATTATTTAAATAGTTTTCATTCAGTTATCTAAAACAAATTCATTTCGGTATCTCATAGTTGAGAAGCTGTTTTAGAGTACTTTGAATGTACAGTCAGTCACGTTTTCAACCTGAGCACTATGCTAGGTGGTGGCTCGCCATCACGGTGCACACTTTGAATTGTTGTTAATAAATGGTTAGAGGCAATCGGCCACAGGAAGCCTTGCTTGACCTAAGCCTCATGCTTGTTGGCAATCGTCAGGATAGTGTGTAGCTGCAATCTTGAAGGAGCTCACGTCCTTCTTCAGATTCAAACCTGTGTCACCTATTACTTCAGTCAGAGATGTTACTACTGAGCTATTCGTGCTTGTGATTGACTTCCTGTAGGATTGTAATGAGTACACTTTGATTGGACACTAGTTAGTTAAAGGTGTCATGCGTTTAATCCTTTGTTTGGTGACGAGTGAACTGTGTCATTCAGTCAAAGGCGACGCATTGATTTAATCGTCTAAGTAGTTAACTTTAAGTCAGTGGAATGGGGGATTCGAACTCTGTCTTACTTCTCAAGATTTGAACAACCAATTAACATGAGAGATCATGAGATCAATTTTTATTTACTAGACTTATAGATACAAATGGGTTGGAGGGCTCTAAACTGTACTATCTGCATAGTAGAGATTACGGACACATATTCCTAGATTATGTAATGCTGAAGATAATGCCTAATATTTTGATTTCTGTCATTCTGAAGTACCCTATAGATAATTTGTCTAAATATTCATTTGTTGTCTACACAAGCTGTATAATGTCAAAATGTTTTCCTCACTTCTCTAGGTAATGCTTGGCGTTGGTCGTAGTTCTTTTGGTAATGTTGGTCAACCGGCTACATTCAATGCTCGTCCTAGTCCAGGTGTTAAAGGTGTCTACGGTGCTGAACAACAATTTCAACAGCAACCACCTCAAGCACAACCACAAATGGCTCAGTTACCATACAATAGGTAGGTTTATATTTTGTTTTCCCTTTCCCCCCAATATATATGCATCTCTATTCATCAAATAGAACTTTTCCTACTTCCTCCAAGGTGATGAGATCGGTTACAGAATTACTAGACGTCTGTTTCGTCCTAGCTCGAGACTCTTCATTCCACAGACGCCCAAGTAAAAATGTGCCAGAAGAAAATAAGCAACTGGCGTAGTGTTCAGTAACAATGCAAAACTCATACCAGAATGTAGTTCACTGAAAATCACAGTCCCATTCAGCACTAGATTTGCTTGTCACTGACTGTATAAAGAAGTATTGAGTTGTTAACAACAAAAACAAGTAGAAAAGAAACAGAGTCATATTTTCTTCAAGTTACGTAACAGTTCACTCCGTCTTTTTAAATATTCAAACAAGGGTGATTGTGAACTTCTCAATGTCATGTAACTTGCTAAATTCTATTTCGTGTAAATTAAGCATATTTTAAACACTTTAATTCATCATGTATATATCTCTGGCTTTATGTTTAGTAAAATTATAAATAATATCATTAATAGCCATTTCTTGAAGACATATTGCACATGATCTTAGCTCAGAGAGCCGAGAAGCGATTCCACATATGATTTATGTTTATTATCACACAAACTCGAAGACTTACAGGCGAAAACTAACAAACTAGCTGAAGAAGCAGATGGTGAAGACAAGAATTCAGGTGAATGTACAGAAAATGGAGATGATAAAGATACTCGCGCACTAACACCAATCACCATCATTGGGATAAATTCGATATAGGTGAATTATTTCCTTCGTAACGACAGAAGACAAGGACAGGAAACAGATCGTTTATTGAGAAAATCAACAGATATTTATAGGTTTTTATGTACATTATTATTCATTATTGTTAGCAGAGAAGCAACGTCTTCTGATTGGTTGTTTTCCTTCTGAAGGTTATTCTGTCATCTTCGTTTGTGTTGCCGTTTCTTAGACAATCCGTTGATGTATCTGCGAATCGTATCCGCCCACGCTAAGTCAGCTGTGACTGGTTTTTGATTTCCTCAAGGTTAGGCTTTGTTCTTGTTTCTTCTTATGACCAAGATTTGGGACGTCAACATTGATGTAGATTGCTATCTACCAATTTTGGCTAGCAGACAGCTCTCAACACACCTTCACTTATTTAGGAGACATTGTTTCTACCACAGGTGACAGCACGAATGAAGATGTCAAAGCCAGTCGTGATCAGGAAGGCAAGGTATGCCTTCATCAATCTGAAATCAATTTGGAAACCTGCTGCACTCAGCATAAAGAAAAAAGGTTCGGATTTTCAACACCAACGCAAAGTCAGTTTTTCTATACACGTCAGAGTAACTTGGTCAGCGCGTCACGTTAAGCATTTGCAACGAGCCACGACAGACCTTTATCAACAGCTGGTATCTCTCCATACTGAAGATCAAATGCCAGTCAAAAAGAATTAGCAACAAGAAACTATGGAAACAAACTAGCCAAGAATCTATTGCTCAACAAATATGTAGGAGAAAATGGAGATGGATCGAGCATACATTGAGGAAGCCGTTGAATGACATCGCGCGCCAGGCTATCGTTCGAGTGGAATCTCATGGGAAGCGAGAAGTGGGTCGTCGGTACGGGGGTGACATGGAGGAAATGAGAGACTATGGGTAATCGTAGGGCCAGCTAAAGATGAGATCAGAAAATAGGAGAAGGTGGAGATGTGTTGTTGAACCCCCATGTTCCATTCAGAACCCAAAGGAACAATAGTAATAATATTTCTTAAGGAAGTTTTATTCGAGAAACGATCTAACCTGGAAAATCAGCAAAGCGTATCAAACTTCTAACCACCTGTGTTTATCCCAGTTAAGAAATCCTCATCTGATAGCATTTAATAAGACTCAGTCTTGAAACATCGCGTGTACTCCACTGCCTGTCAACTGCTTACAAATGCAGCGTGATTGTGGAGTAACACTTTCTTGTATGCAGGTTCGTGTCTTTTGCTACTCTAGCGTAAACTGTAATAATAGACAGGATGCAGGAAAGCATGAGCTCGAACTCTAAACCGAAACCCGAAATAGTTAAAAAGAAACCGGTTTTTATGTGTTTAGCCCACGAAGCGGAAGAAGTATCCACAAGAATCGAGAAAAGAAATGAAACAGTAAAATGAACATTTCTCGCCGCCAGACTCATTCCATCCTACAACACAGTATGCTCGTTAACCCAGCCAAAAGTAGTTGAGTATCCTGCATTTACCAATTCGCTTACATTTGTGGCAGAAAGGACGTATGAAGGACTCAAAGGGGAGCGTCTACTAGATTCGCCGAGCGTATACTTAAAAGTCGTCGTATGAAAGGCAGCAAAGTGTTCTCGAGTGCAATTGTCAGACACCTGACACCGAACATAGAGTGTAAATAAGTCAGGCTTTCAAAACAATCAATACACAAAGGAAACCATGATTACTTGGGATCGTCTAAGTCATTTCTATCAAAAGACTTTGACCCAACCTATGCATACAGAAAGATAGAAGAACTAATCTCTCGCCGCCCTGGTAACCGTAATTTTTCCTTCTGTTGCATAAAATTCCGTTTAATTTTGATTTTGGTTTCCACTTATTGAGTTAAACTCACTATTAAGTTTCCAAATCTGCTAAATTATTTTGTCTATCTTATAATTTTAAATTACTGTTCACTCCCACGCTCCTAAATTCCACATGATTATATATATATATGTGTATATATATAAATCTGTTCTTTTGTTCTGTCTTGTGTTTTGTCTCTAGTTCACCCTTGTCTCCAAGCGAAATCGGGACTCTACCCGATTTGTCTAATTTTTACATGAATGGTTACCTTTTATAACTGAATAATTCATCTACTAACATCATTTTTGGAATTATATTGCTTATACTTCCTATCTATGACTCAAAGTCGTCGTATGTTCTTACACCATGTTGTAACTTATACTTTGATTTTGTTCAGGATGTACGCAGTTGATGGAGGATCCACGATATGAAACGAGCTCGTGTTATCCTGCAAATATTTTTATTCTTTCTTTATTCAAACTCTGTTATTAAGCGTTGACAACTAAGTCTTGCGTAGGTCTTGTACTGATCTTTCCATATTCTGCTAATTTGGATTCCTTCCTTTCTAATTTGTGTATATTTATATTCAAGTATTGGTTTTCAGGGATTTGATTCGATTGATTACATGACTTGGTTAGAGTACCTCTAGAAAACCTGGGAGTACTTGACATATGTTTCATCTTAGTGCTTGAGACTCTAAAGCAGTACTTACCTACCAACGGGGTTGGAACCCGGGACCTCCTGGTTACGAGGCAAGCTCGTAGACCATTAAGCCCATGGGACTTGACCCAATGGTCCATGAATTCCAACTTCTGCCTAATGTTCTACGAGCTCGCTTCGTAACCGGAAGACGCTGGGTTCGAATGTCGACCAGTGGGGTGCGGGCCTCTGAAGAGTCCCAGGCGCTGGGACGAAACATTTGTCCAGTACTCTTAGGTTTTCCAATGGCACTTTAACCAATGTTAGCTCATGATGAAATCAAGTAACTTCTGTTTATCATATTGCTTGTATTTCTTATTTCGATGTATCTTTTCAGATTTATTCAACCTATGGAAAGATGTGATGCTGTGTTAACTGATCTACTGACTGAACTACAACCTGATCCATGGCCTGTACCACAAGGTAAACGTCCACTTCGTTCAGTTGGTACTGCATTAAGTATTGTCATTGGTCTACTAGAAGCCACCTATCCAAATACAGGAGCTAGAGTTATGCTATTTCTTGGTGGTCCATGTACTCAAGGTCCAGGTATGGTTGTAGATGATGATTTGAAGAATATTATACGCTCTCATCATGATATGGAAAAAGATAATTGTAAATATATGCGAAGAGCTATGAAAGTAAGTTTTATTTTTATTAGTCTTGTTATAACAAGTTATCTGATAACAAATATATTCTACACTGCAACTTATATACTCGGTATAATATGCATCCCTTTTTTGTTTTAACGTGTGTTACTCAAAGACTTACACTACTGGGAATCCAGGATTTATTGATGAAGCGTAATACGATACTGACTGACTGGTTTCAACATAGAACTTTGCACCGATGTGCAGCAGTTAGAGTCGCCACACTCCATGTAGCACATAAAGCAAGAGAAACGCAAAACAGAGACATTAAACAGAGATATGAGGCAAAAAGAATAGTAATATCGAAGATAAATATAGATTTATTGGGTATTATAAGTTCATAAGGAGTGGATGCATCTACGCCATTCATTGGGAACGATGATTTTGAGCCATATCACCAATTGTCTCCAGCCTTTATTGGTTTTTACCGTCCCGAGGACAACAACCAGACAGCAGTCTACACCTTCCTACGTGGCTTAAACTAATTGTTGTGGACTTCATTGACTGATGAAGTCATGTTGGTTTTAGTTTAATCACCACTGGCTCTTTTCCGACCTGATCCGATGTCAGCTAACATTGTTCGTCGAGGAAGGTGATAGCTAGGATGCATGCGTAACACTTGTCCTAATCATCTCAATCGATATAGCTTCACAGCCTAGTCGATTGATTTCCCCTCCTTACCTAGCACTCGACCGATGCCTAACCTCAGTATTGCTCACCCTATTATACCACTTCACACGGAACATAGAACGCACCTATGTTCAAACACAGCTTGCTGGTGTTTTCATTTCTTCCACTTTCAATGGTCAGGTCTCACAATCTTAAAGGAGGATGGAGCGGACTGCTGCAGAGCAGTACACACACCCTCTGGTCGACAACCGGATATCACGTCATTCGATATACACCTGGATAGAATGTTATCTAACAGATCACACGACGTTGCTTCAAATTCTCCTGGATATCTTCATTAGCTAATCTGTAGGTGTTGTAACGGAGTTGTTTGTGTTTTGTTTATTTGTCATCTAACTTGACTAGAGTGAACCCCCAATTACGACATTGTAGCTAACTGATTACTTGGAGAATATTCTCTCCCCCCGCTACACACACACATTGAGGTAGACGTACCGAAGTCAGGTTTAACTGTGACCACAATAACTTAATTATTCACAGTGTAGAGTAAGCTATTCGTTACACATCAACAGAAATTGAAACCATAGATAAATAATCAGTATCCTATTGATTGCATCAATCATGATTTTATGGCTAACAATGATAGTTAATTCGTTTTAACAATAGAAATTCGATTTGTTTCAAGTTTGGTCACAGATTGATATCAGTTAGAGAACCATCGAAAACCTGGGAGTACTGGATGGCTAGCTCTTTCTTCCTAGTCGAGCATTTTATGGCTGTGTGCACCCACTGGGGTTCGAACCCAGGAACTTCTGGTTGCAAGTTAAGTTAGCTGGTAGACTATTCAGCCACTGGGAGGGACCGAACTCAATGGCCAGTCCATGAATAAAGTGTAACTCCTACCAGTTGGTGATTTTAGCGCGACTGGCGCCAGCCAATGCCATCAGCAGTGTTTATCCTCATTCCCGACCTGGTGGTGAGGGTCTCCACTGGTCACGAGTTCTCACTAGAAAGAGCTCGAGGCACTTTCCTCTTGCATAGATCCAGTCACTCCCTAGCGAGCACTAGATTAATTTTGATTGATATCATCATTCTATCAGATGATAAATGAGTAGGTTAGTAATGGTATTAGTATTATGGTAGATATTTTGTTGGCTTTGCTTTGCAACACTGTCTTACGGGTTTAAGTTCCCTAACATTAGATTAACTTCAGATGTGTCTGTCTATGATGACTAGATGAGGAATGATGTATTCTTGTTTCTCACCTTAAGGATAATAATAATAATTTGCTTTATTCCAAAACAGTACTTATGATACAGAATGGAATTCTCAGCCTTTTTACTACAGTACTGCATCCAGTTAGTACATTATCAATAAATAGAATTCTACATAGATTAAGGAAATCTCAGTTCATTATGACAACATGTTGGGATGTCGGTAGCAAAGGTAAAGCTGGACAGTGTTTGAAGGTGTTAGAAAAGTAGGAGCTGTCATATTTACTGGCGTAAGCGAGAGAAAAAAACAAGGTAGCACATAACGGAAAAAAGAGAGAGAAAAGGAAAAGAAATAAAGAAAACGTTGTACCTATAAATGATATGAGTTGGAAAGACGAGAACCACTTGTTCTATTGACTATTTAATGAATTATAGGTATCACGCCTAATGCTTTCTCTATCACACAGAACACGAGCTAAGTAGGGTATGGTTGAGTTTTTGTACTTGCTAGTGAAAGCATATAGTTTTCTATATAGGCTTCTGGTTTTACCTGATGAGATGCAAGGGGAGAGTTGTGAGTGAAGAGGGTGGTGTGAGTTAGATAAAATGGATTTGGCCCATTTTTCACATGAGTCCATGTGCCTGTCGACCAGAAAATTAACAAGCTGGTTAAGTGACACGTTGCTCTTACCCTGCTGACAACCTTTAACATCCTGCGTAATATGTGATAGTCTTTCTTCAGTAGCCCGGGAAAAACTAAGGGGGAACAATAGAGAATAATAGGCAGGATGCGAGAGTTAACGAATTGTAGGAGTAAGGGTTGGGTTATACCAGAATGTTTTAACTTCTTGATGTAGAAGGTAAGACGGAATATTTACTTAGGAATCGCCAAGATATGAGACGACCATGTATCTGAGTATATTAATTATCACTTTAAATGGTTGGTGCATATTCCTCTTTCAGGTGAGAATGATGACAGTACAAGCAGATTCATATCATCACTTAGTTTACCACTTACTAAATAGTGTTTAACACATCCCATAGATTTATTTAATTCAATTTTGAATTTTCCTTTCGATTAGTTGGACCGATGTGTTCGGTCTCAGGTTGACATGTCGTCTTCTTATGCAGATGCTTCGACGATGTCTGGGCATGTAATTAGAAGTTAATTGATGGATGGTGACTAGCAGTGGAATCTAGGATGCTCATTTCGTCCTATTGGGGACTCGTCAACTGGATGTACTTGCATTCCGCGGGCAAGTCTACCTGAGACCGAGCACTTCGGTCCAATCAATCGGTGAGGAAATCTAAAATTGAATTAAATAATTAATATGACCCGTTGCACAAGAGGTGGCTCCTGTGGCCCAGGTGGTCTAGCGGATAACGCGTTGGCGTTTGAAACTATGGGCACTGGGTTCGAGCCTCGGTGGGAACATTATCATTCATTGCGGAATGCAGATACATCCCGCTGGCGAGTCCTAAATAGTACGAAATGCGCATCCTGGATTCCACCGCTAGTCAACATCCACCAATTAACCTCCCATAGATGTTATATTGTATTTCTCTCTCCTGGTTTTTTCTCCATTAAGGTGTATATTTACCGTTAGCCTAGAAAAAACCAATAAAATGAGTAGCGTTCAGTATTTCAAATCAGGAGTTTCGATTACAACACCTCAACTGCCTGCTAAAAACTTGGGCTACCGAAAACTTCCATCAATATATTACGTATAATTTCCTTTATTCAGTTTGTTTAAAATCTAGTAAAATATCACCTCTAACATTATTGTTTACTTTGGCGACAATGTAAAATATTTTACAACTTCCTGATTTGTAAGTTTCTGCTAAATTTGAGAAAAGACATTATCCTCGATGACAGCTTATCCTGTTCTTAAGTGTAGTGTCCTTGGTTCACAAAATGTACTAATGAACTTTGCATAATTGGCATTCAACAAAATGTTGGCGTGTATTTCTTGAAGGATTGGTTTGTGCTTCAGATGAGGTAGAACTGTATCACAGGATCTGTTGTCAATTGATGTCAATATTTGAAGATCCTGCACAAGGCGTAAATATCATGCAATAAACTCGGCTGAAAATCCCGTATATATTATATGAACATTGTTCAGAGTAAAGCTGTTATTATTATTATTATTATTAGATAGACAATATAGTACTCATTTCTTATTTGCCTACCTCTCTTCAATGTCTTTTTTCTCCACTACGTATCTTGTAGCATTATGAAGGCTTGGCTAATCGTGCTGCACAGAATTTTCATGTTGTCGATATATTCAGTTGTTCGCTAGATCAGACTGGCTTGCATGAATTACGGTATTTAACGAATTACACGGGTGGTCATATGATTATGGGGGATAGTTTTGCATCAAGCCTATTTCAACAAACCTATCGACGTGTATTTAACAAAGATGCAACAGGTTCCTTTTTAATGGGATTAGCTGGTCAAATGGAAGTGAAGGTTAGTTTTCCAGCTCTGATGACTGATGACTTTCTTGTCTTTTTTTTTATTACAGCTTGATGCCACACTGTATTTTCAGTACAAGTATGGAATTTTCAGCATGGATATCGGTAGCCCAAATTTTGCAGGCCGACTATAGATATCGGGTATGCGTCGGCAGGGGATCGAAACCCGGACCATGTGCATGGTCGGCGAGAGTTCTAACCACTGTGCCACCGACGCACATGTATCACCGTAGAACTTTAAAACAGTTCATGCTGCCCGGCCGATAACTGCTACCTTGCCGTGGTGGTCGGGCTTGAATGCCGCAGTGACCCAACAAGCTAAACTGGCTGGGACTCATGTCTCTGCAGGTCCTACCATGCCAGGAAGGTTGTTTGGATAGCGGTTAGACTAAAAGCAGTTAACATGAGTACATGGGCTCCATAATCCAATCGGATCAAATGGCGTACGAACCCATATGGGTCACCGGCAACCATGGGAACGCAGCACCTGACGCTGCTCCGCTGCCTTACGGGTTAGACTCCAAGTCAAAGGCTCGGGTGGTGGTCCCTTAAGAAAACCACCTGCTTCGGTCTGGGCGCCCGGGCAGTATTTCAGCCCTCACACAATAAATGAAATTTGTGTGGCGCATCCTTCTTGGTGCCATATTGTACCAAGGTTTTCTGCGTTCAAATAAAATAAAATAAATCATGTTGATGCACTTCATAAAGTGCACACATAGAGGTAAAGAGAAAATACAGAGAAAAGCTATAATAAACGAAAATATATGCAGGAGAATGATTGATTACATAGACAATAATAAGGATTTATTGAATCTTGGAGATTGCAAGGAGTGAATGCAATCTGCATCAATAAGAGTGACAGTCATGGGTTCTTAGTACCTCGAAGACCTCAGTTAGACAGTCTGCATCTCCCTGCATGACTCAAACCAACAGTTAATCAGTCTGTCAGAATTGTTTCAACTTCCCAGATAACTGGAGCGTTTAGCACGCTCAACTATTTTAGTCCCTATCCCAAAATAAACGGAGAGTTGGTGTAGACCATCTTACATTTTATAGCTAACCATACTAGAATTTTAGCTGGAGGTATATTCAGAAGATTCTGCATTTCATCAGTGTGTTCACCTAGAAAGACTTTATCCATCTGCATACTCTAAATCAACCAGACTGTCTCCTCAATTCGTTAAAATCGATTAGAGTCACATCCATTGGTGGTACATCTGTGATGGAATTAAATAAAAATAGAGATATTTAGAGCCCCCCTCCCTGGTGGATACCGCTGCTTTGTCGTCATTTCAGATGATAAATGTCTAAAGATCATGGATTACTTCGAGTAGAGTATCTTGATTAGTGGAACCTATTTTCTTGGCATTCCTTTCACGGCCAAACATGGTTCCTTTCGGTTAACGGTATCGCATTCCGCATTTATATCAAGAAATCTGGCAGTTGTCGGAAGCCGGTAAATATGCCAGTTCCAGAATCTATCGAAGTGTAAAGATATGATGAATACACCCTCTTCTTGGTCTAAAGCCTGTTCGGTTTACCGATATTTGTTTCTCCCAAGCACCACTTAATCTACAAATGATTATTGAGCGTAGAACTTTAGATACCATACTAGTGAAGCTAATCCTATTACGATTATCACAGGAGAAATAGTAGGACGATTAATTACTTGCACTAGTCCAACAGGACTATCTTTAATTCTCAGACACAGCCTAATGTCTAAGTTATTCCAGACAGTAATACGTCATCAGCGTCCTTAAATACCTCTGCTTTCTCTCATTCCAAATTAGAGACAGCCTTTGTAACCTCATTAACAGATGGATGACGGATGTCTACATCTCATTCAGGTAGGTGTTGGATGATGGGCAAGTTCTGCGTGACTTCTCGGCCTGTTAATTTGCTTCTTAGAATGTGCCTTCGAACGTTCCAGTTGTCAATCCTGAGAGCTAATTAGGGAGTCATTTTCCTCAGAGATTTTCTCGCTTATCATTTTCCTTTTGTCACCTGTTTCCAAGTGTTCTCAGTGAGACTTTCATTTCGCAACTGAGTAACTTGAGAAGACACGTTCACTGAATCGTCGGTAGAATAGTATACAATTAGTCACATTTCGTACAGATATATTTCGTATCAATCAGAGTTGAAGTAATGTGACAGAGTTTCATTTACTAATAATACATTTAGCCAACTCGTAGAATGCAAACTGTCAGTTCTAGTTGTGTACAATAGTTTGTGCTTGTTGGGGATGATCTTCAGTAAACTGCGGGAGAAAAGTGTCTTAAATTTGTTGAATGCAAAACATCATTTGTTATCTTGTGTTACATTTTTTTATCGCCTAGTGTAGTGTTTCACAACCATTTGATTTGATTTGTGCAACTATTTTGATCTTATGTGTACAACAGCCCTATTTTATGTAAATCTTAATTCTCTGTAGACATCTAAAGAACTCAAAGTCTCCGGTTGTATTGGCCCGTGTTTCTCGGCTAATGTTAAAACATCGAATACAGGTGAACAAGAAATTGGTATAGGGCGTACTTCTGTATGGCGATTGAATGGTTTCACACCATCCACCACACTGGCTATCTATTTTGAAGTGGCCACCTCTTCCAGTGGAAGTAGTGCACAAATTCCACCAGGTGGTAGAGGTTATGTCCAATTTGTTACACAATATCAACGAGCTAATGGTCAACGAAAATTACGTGTCACAACAGCTTGTCGTAATTGGATTGATTCATCAACACAATTGCCTCATATGATATGTGGTTTTGATCAGGAAGCCGCTACAGTGTTGACTGCTCGTATGGCTATGTTCAGAGCAGAGACAGCTGATAGTGTTGATGTATTACGGTAAGTTAGTTTTTGTTGTCGCTTATTTTTACTACTGATTTCATATATTCAGTAATATATCTTTTTATCTTTATTATTTACTGTCGTGACCGAGAAGAGTACGGGGTTCGAGTTCTCTCCACAGGTATTTCAACGCACTACACTAAATGACTGATCAGTCAACTTCTATTCCTACACTGGATAGACACGAAGGAATGTCTGAAAAAGCGAAGATCTATTACTCCGAGAAAAAGGTAATAAGAATAGGAATGTTACTCACTTCGCTTGACTGATAAGTTACAAATTTAGGGTATGAAAACTGTGTTCTGACAGAATGGATACGGAAAAGTCTAAATTGAATAAGGTAATAACTGGTACCCGTTGCAAAAAAAGAGATGGCTGTCGTGGTTCAAATGGTCTATTGGATAACGCTCTGGCATTTGAAACTATGAGTACGGGGTTCGAGCCTCATTGGGAACACCATCACCCACTCACACACTAAGGAATGCAGGTACACCTAGCTGATGGGACTCAAATAAGACAGCCAAAATGCTTATCCTGGACTTCCCTGCTAGTCACCATCCACCAAATATGTAGATGTTTATTTTGAAAGATACTGGCCATTATTTTACTCACGAGAGTAACAAACAGTGATTAGGCTCCGCCGTTTAGGTGGTACATATACTAAAATTGGAACGATACAGAGAAGATTAGCATGGCCCCTGCGCAGGGAGGACACGCGAAATCGCGAAGCATTGCATATAGCTCAGTCGTAACACTTCTCACTACAGCGTTGTCACTGATTCGAAACAACATTATAAGTAGCTTCTCCAACAATAGGTGCGATCAGTAACACTGGTTCCTAGTCATTTTATGAAATTTATAATTTCGTATAGGTCTGAACACCGTAACTTCGCAGTTCAGGATTATTTCTTGGTCTAGCCATTTGTATCTGGAAGCATCTTAATGTGTGCTCGTACAAACAATAATATTCTGTTTTACGGCTGCCATGTTGCTACTCGACAGTTCAAAATACAGCAGATGACCATGGTCAGCATGATCTTGTGAGAAGGTCGTCTAATCGGAGATCGTGAGGTGTGTGGTTCACCAAAACAGTTGTGAAGTCAGATGCTTATTGATGCCACTGGATGTTGACGGTGCTCTGTCATAAATTGGCAAAAGTTAGAATTTTAGAGTGACTTAATTCTGACCCATTGACTGAATGGTAATGTACTCTGTTGTTAATATGAAAATGCTAATTTCGATATTCCTGGTAGAGTTATGGTTACATACTGCCGAAGAGTCTCAAAGTGGCGCAAAATAGTTATCATTAGTTCTCTATATGATGTCGGTTTTTTTGTGACAAATTAATTTAACATAGTTTTCATTGTTCTTCTTCATCTTCTCACCTTTCCTGTTATAATCATTATTACTGTTATTACTATTGTAGATGGTTGGATAGACAATTGATTAAATTATGTCATAAATTTGGGGATTATCGTAAAGATGATCCATCATCATTTCGATTACCGGATGAATTTTCCTTTTATCCACAATTTATGTTTCATATGCGACGTTCACAATTTCTACAAGTGTTTAATAATAGTCCAGATGAAACAGCCTATTATCGGTAAGTTCACCCTATATTCATTGCTTTGTATATATTACCACCTCTCCTGCATTTCTCACTCTGTTCTATACAGTCTTTTTTAACTGACCTCACGATTGTCCATAAGCTTTCACTTCCCTGTAGCATGTAGTCTCTTCCAGGTCACTCTCATTACCTACTGGAGTTCCACTTGAAAGCCTGTCTCTTGGTGTAACTCAACAGTCTTTCTAGCCTATGTCCAATTTATCTCTGTTTTTTTTCTGCATATATGGTGGTTGGTGCATTGTTGCTTATCGCTGACGAAATCTTAACACGGATACAGAGGGTTAGTTGGGCTCTTGCCTGCAAAATTACGCTGTCTATAGCTTAGTAGACATGACATCTGGCTGGCTGTCAACCAAAGGACGTGTATACTGCAAATCAGCAGCTTGTTCCATCCGCCTTTTTGGTTGACTGTGGGAGAGAAATGGCAGCCATTGAAAGTGGAATATTGAGGTTAGGCATCGAGTTTTAGCTGAAGCTACATCGGTTGACACGGTGAGGGTATGTGTCACGCATGTGTCCCTGGCCATCAATCACCTTCGTCGACTGACAGTCAATGTTAGCTGACATAGGATCGATGAGGTTGGGAAAGAGTTAGCGTGGGTAATCAGATGGAAGCATGGTACATGGAGGGAGAGTGGCAAGTGGAACTGGTGCACATCAGTACAAAGTAGTTCTTTGTTGAAACTAGTCAGTCGTGCAGGCATTCAATGAAATAGACTACTAAACACTTTAGATTAAATATAGAGGGTAGAGGAAAGTTTCTTCCTGGAGTTGTCTGTTCTTTAGTTGATAAGGTAGGAAGTGCCTAAGATTTCGTGCTTATTAACGGTGGCTGGTTTTATTTCAAGTTTTGTTTTTTTTGCTTTGATGTTTCTCTTATTTGAATAGTCATGTTCTAAATAAAGAAGATTGTTCAAATTCCCTACTGATGATACAACCATCGTTGACATCATTCAATTTGGATGGTAGTGAAGAGCCGGTTCTACTGGATTCAAGTAGTTTACAACCAGAACGTGTACTACTGATGGACAGCTTCTTCTTAATCTTGATTTACGAAGGTGATACTATTGCTAAATGGAAGAAAGCTGGCTATCTGGTAAGCCTTTTCCTTTGCTTTGCGTACATATTCATACATCCTGCTTTTAGTCTACCCTAGAAGGCCTTTGTTGAATTGTCCTACTTTCTGCTCTTCTCTTCAACTGTACTTACGGATGCCCATAACTTCTCATCTCCTCGCCACACGATCTCCTCCGTGTCACCCTCGGACCAACTTTCCACTCTTTGTTTCCTATTTGGGTTCCACTTGAACGATGGCCTGCATTCAGCGCGATGTCATTCGAAGGTCTCCTCAATGTGTGTCCAATCCGTCTCCACTTTTTCCTACGTATTTGTTGAACGATAGGTTCTTGGTTGGTTCGTTGTCAGTCAGAGTTTGTTGTTGCTGATTCTTTTCGGCCTGTCTGCCTGCCAGCCATCTGATCTTCAATATAAAGGCAGAGAAAGCAACTGTTAATAAAAGTCTACAGTGGCCTGTTTGAAATTCTCTTCGTGACGCGCACTGCAAGTTTCTGACCCACATAGAAAAACTGACTGACTAAACGTTTGTGTTGGAAATCCAAATCTCGTTCTTTATGCCGACTGGGTGAAGATTTACAGACCGATTTGAGGTTAATAAAGGCATATCTTGCCTTACTGATTCTGACATCTTCATCCGTTCCGCCTGTAGTTGAAAAGAAGCCTCGTAGATAGATAAATGAAGGAAGTAACCTCTTTTAAATTTACTCCTTTGATAGTGATTGGTGCCTCTTTTTGCTAGTTGTGTGGTGTTGTTGTTGGTTGATTATCTTTATCACCTCCGCCTTCTCTATGTTCACTCGGAGTTCTGTCAAATAAGACACGGACACTTGGTAATAAGAAATTTCTGTTAGAGAAGCAGTAGTCACATCAGTAAATATTACTGTATAACAACACTGTGAGACTTTATCAATATAAATTTTACCCACAGTGGAATTGTACTCTACCCCAGCGCACAATTTCTATTCTTATTTATATTTTCAGCCGTCTGTAGTAGTTCCATTATGGATAATGTAGTGGTTTTTTAATTGTTTGAATTATGTTGTTTAGATTGAAATTTATTCATTTGACCTGTATAATTATATATACGTACAATATCTGTATTTTTATTCATGTAAATAGTTCAATTTACTTGTTGACCACACTAAACGAAAAACTCCCATTCGATAACATGGGTATGTGGTAGGATTACACCTGTCAGTTCAAAAGTCCGTTGAGCTAATTTAGTGAATGGTGACTAGCAGTGAAATTCAAGGTGCGCATTTCGACTGTCCTATTTGAATGTCGTCACCTTGATGCACCTGAGTGAGTGAGTGGTGGTGATCCCACTGGGGTTCGAACCCAGTACCCATGGTTTCAAACGCCAAAGCGTTATCCACTGCATCACTTGGGCCACGAGAGCGCCATCTCTTTCTTTTGCAACGGGTATCATTTATTTTTAATTAATTCAGTTCAGATTTTTCCGTTGATTGACTAAACCGAAGTGTTCAGCCCCAGGTTGAGATATGTCGTCGGCTCTTTTTGCGTGTGCTTCGACAATGTTTGAGGACTTAACTTTAATTCATTTGATGGATGGCGACTAGCAGTGGAATCCAGGATATGCATTTTGTCGTTCTATTTTGAGGTTGTCATCTAGATGTATTACTGATAAGTCTTATCACAGAAGCAGACGCCACGTAACTAACAACTTTGTTTATCTGCCACATTATATCCTTCAAAAACAAGGTCAGTATATGGCATACTGTTTGAATCACAAATTTGTTATATATTTTTCTTTCAAACCCTTATTTTTTAAAAATTTTTGTCTATTTTTTTTTCTTTCGTGTTTATGTGTATAATAAGGATATGCCTGAATATGCTCACATAAAGCAAATTCTGGATAAACCAAGATTAGAAGCTCAAGAATTATTGAAAGTACGCTTTCCAGTTTCACGATATGTTGAAACCGAGTTCGATGGTAGTCAGGCAAGATTTTTACTATCTAAAGTCAATCCATCACTGACACATCATACAATGTATTCATTTGGACAGGTAATTTGCTTCACTTATATTTGCTGTCTGATTTTATCTTGGTGGTTTCCAAGATCATTTATTATTATTATTCCTTTTCGTTCTGAAGGGAACAAAGGTCGACTTCAAGTTAAATATTTACAGTTTCGGTGGCAGTGGATTTGCTTTTAGGGGGTGGCGTTGCTAGCCCAACCGGGTTAGCAAGGTTTAGGTGTGCGTTGTTAGCTGGGGATGGGTCCTTGGATCACGTGTCCCAAGGGATGGCGAGCTTTCTACCACTGAACCACCGACGCCAAACCTTGAGTGTTTCTCATGTGTATAATTAATTGGATATACATTTAGGTTTGTGTGCTATTCGTATATAATCTCCATAAATAATTCATTCTACTGTTAGGGGACTTAAACAGGAGTAAAACACATTTGCACACAGTGTTGTAAAGCAAAGTTAGTAAAAATATATCTACCTTAATATCTACTACTTATACTAACGCGGACTCATTTGTCATTTGATAGAATAAGAATATCGATCAATGAACTAACTTTTGAAAATTAATCTGATGCTCGCTAGTGAGTGAATGACTCTATACAGGAGGAAGTTGCGTGGAGCTATTTCTAATGAAAACTCGTAACCATCAGGTCGATGTGGTGGGAGGAAAACTACTCACCATCGATGATATTGGCTGTTGCCAGTCGCGCCAAAAATCATGCATTGGTAGAAGTTGGGATTTATGGACTGTTCTTTGAGTCAGATCCCAGTGGTTGAATGCTCTACCAGTGAGTTAGCTTGTCTTGTAACCGGATGGTCCTAGGTTCGAACCCTCGCGAACTGCCGATTAGTCCTAAGCACTAGGAGGAAACGGCTGTTCAGTACTCCTTGCTGATTATCAGTCGTTTTCTAACTGATATAAATCTCTGGTCAAACTTGAGACATTCAAATCCATACAAACTAACTCCTCAAGATATGGAAGGTAATCAGTAAATTCATTAATCCACAGGTAAACGACGGACATAAATGTGTGTATGTCAGTAGTTGGAGGAAAGTATGTTTACTTTCCATTGGGTGTGTCTATGTCTGTGAAGATATGTTCTACTTAACACAGCTTTCGCAGTAATGAAAACGAATGTAAACTCAACCTTCGCATGAAAATAAAAACTTGAAGAGGAATTTGTGTGGATGTTAAATATCAAGGATAGTTGTTAAGTTCTTTTCTGATTATCAATTAATGGTCTCGAAAATTTTGAATGCATCATCTTGTGTAAATGGAAGCTAATATCTTTCTTTGAAGAGTTTGCTGGTCAACATCAAATTTACTCATGTGTGTTATAGAGCTAATAAGACAGAACACTGTTGTATGTATGGTTATTGTATATGGCTAAATACACGCATATCTCGTTTTTGTAAACTGGTAATGTGTAACGGGGGAAGACTAAATACTTGGTAACGGACTTTATTTTTATTAAGATAAACCACACAATATTTATACATTTTTAGCCATATTTAAGTTCGGCTAGTTCAGCAGATAGATAAACTGTTCTGATTGGTTGTTAATTTCTTAATGTTAAACCTTGAGACAAAAAGTTTTCCACTACAACGCAAGCTACTGATAAGATTTATCAGTAGTATACAGACGCAGATTGTCAGAATGTAACTCAAATTTAAAATAACATTTTAAGTCAGTGGCTACAGAAGTAAAAGCAACTTAAAAATTCCCATTGGGTCATATAAAAGAAAAGGCGTTCAGCGAAGACTTACTCTATTCTTTTATATGAATCAATAGGAATTTTTAAGTTGCTCAAACATTGCAAGGACCCGGTGACGGTGAAGAAGCTGGAAAGTTTCCTGCGTTACTCCGTCAAGCGAAGGCAGAGATACAGTTCTTAAAAAAATATTTAGATCGAAATGAATATGAAAAGATGTACTGGGGATCACTCAGATGCAATCATATTCATCCGATTGCCAGAACACTGAGGTGACACACACTAAACAACATTGACTCCATCCAATCGCGTGTCCCTGAACAAGAGCGAAACGCTGACTTACGAGTTCATGTAGTCTATGATTTAAGTTAAGAACTACGAACATCCTTCGAAAAATACGTCCGAGAAGTTACACAAAAACAATGTGATAAGATGAGGGCAAATTTAATTAAAAGCCTGAAATCAACGAGTAATACTGAACGTACATTCTCAAGCATCAAACTATCAACACTTCAGCTTGAGAATAATATCGCCGAAAAGAGAAGTAGAAGCGTTTATTTCTCAAATCTGGACCTAGCTTACGTTTTTGGTGAGGGCATAATCTGAAGGTTTAACCTTCAGGAAATCAACGACCAATCAGAATGATTTACTATCCGCTAACCTAGACAACCATAAATGTGGTTAAAAATGAACGAACATCGTGTTTCCCCTTAATAAAAATGTCCGATACCAAGTCTCTTGCCTTCTACCACTACCCTTCTGTAGCTACTGATAAATTTAATCGGTAGCACACGCTACAGGAGTAGTTGGATTTGTTGACCTGTTGACCGACTCCTAGTCTATTCATCAGTTGGCTGTGTGCGTTTAAGGCTAGTCAGCCTATATACTTTTTCATTTGCTTTTTATATAAAATTGGTTATGTTATCTGTTTCTATGTGTTTTGTTCAGTTACAACCAGATGTAAGTTGTGTGTGTGTGTGTGTGTGCTAATTAATTTGCAGTGTAAATTTAATTATTTTTTTTCCCATGGGTTCGGTTTTTCTTTTGCGTCTCTCTTCTCTGTGTATCCCCGTGTACAAATAATTTTTTTTCAAAATGTGTGTTTCCACTAAGTCCCTTTGCCTCTCTATCACTCCTCTCTGTGTAAGCTTCTCAATGTGTATTCTTTTTACTTTTTAAAAATTCTATTCCTGTATGTTCCTACTGGAATGTAGCGCTTCAAGCTAGAGCTTTAAGGTTTCGGTAGCGTGGTTTTTTTTATACGGAGTGAGGTTACTACCCTCCTGTCCAACCTCCCGTCTCTACCGCAGTTATTACCGGCTGAGAAGAGGTTTAGGAGTGCAGTTTGATTTCTTGATGCTTCTTACAACCTTTATTTTGTTATAGCGTTTAGTCTTTCTTGAGATGGTTGGTTCACACGGTTCTGTTTTAATCGCCAGTTTTCTTCAAAGCTAGAAAAGTTTAACTAAATCAAGAAATTTTTCATAAATCGTCAGTGTAATTTCTTTTCACATAAATGTTAGTGTACTAATGTGAGTTTTTTTACATACAGGCTCTCTCCCACCTTTTTGCGTTGAGATGTGCTCACTGTGTGTGTGTGTGTCTGTTTATGTGTTTTACTCTTAACTTTTTTATAAAATCTGCTTCTCCACTGAATAATATTCGACTCTGTGATTGCTTTATCCAACTGTTTTTGCTATTATTTCACAATCAAATGTTCTGGTATATAGAACACTACTGTTTGATGTTGGATGTTTCGTAACTACTCACATCAATCAGTAGTAGTATGTGTATACTTTCAGAAAAAGTCTCCTATAATTTTCATCTAATATCTATGATTAAGGTTGTATACTTGATTATTATTGCTATTATTATTCTATATTTATGTTTACAAGGTAAGTTATAACAGAAAAAAGTTCAGGAAAAAATGGTTCATCATGTTATGTAATCCCTTCATACCCGCCTGTCTCCTTTTTCTGCTGATATCGTGAGGACGTTACATCATTTCTAAAAAATGAAGTACAAAACTTCTGGTTGTTAGTTTTCTTGTTTTTGCTCTGAGCTGATGTTTCCATTATGGATCTTTTGATATCAGTGTTAGGTCAAATGGTTTGAACACAGTCTTTCACTAACAAAGATTTGTGAAACCAGTTAGTATATAATGGTGGAATAGGTTCTGTCAAGGAACTTAGCCCTAAGTTCCTATTGTAACGAAGACGCTTTGAACCGATAATGACTATGTATCTTCTCGACTTTAACTCCAAAACACCAGTATTCTTTGAAGGAAGTTATATTGTTTGGCAATTAAAGTAAAGATTGATACAAGTCTATAAACAAATGTTTTGTACAAAATTAGAAGGTACTTTTATTCGTATTCTCTTCTCGTCTTCATCGAACTTGCACACGATCGAACCACTTGCGCCTTCGGATTGCCCGCCAGTGGTGACCAAGGTCAATGAACCAACGTTCAATGTTCATATTCCTTGACAGGTTCCATGCGAAATATTAAGTGGTTTCATTTAGGAGACACTAAACGATGCTCTGGATGCGAAACTTCGACCTCCCGAACAAGCTAGATTCAGGAAAGGCAAATCATATGCTGAACAAAGTGCAACTGTACGCATCGTCATCACCGAACATAGCATAGAGTGGCAGTCAAACCTCTACCTCAATCAACTCTGCTGACTTTGAAAAAGCTTTCGACAGCGTTAACTGTGAAGTAATTTGGAAACTGCCTCAACGCTATGGCGTACCTCAAATCTTTATCAACTTCAATCAACAGTTATATGGTACTGCCACTTGTCAGGTGATCTACAACAAGAAACTCGTCTAATCCTTTGAAGTGAATACAAGAGTAAGACATGGTTGACTACTATCGATGATGAAATACCTAATTTTGATGGACTGTATTATGCGTCAGACGGTAATGAAGATAGCCAACCAACAACAAGCACCAATCACTATCAGTGGGAGAAATTTGAAAGAGGTCACTTCCTTAACCTATTTGGGAGAGGTGGGACTCATGGGGATGTCAAAACGAGAATCCTAAAGGTATGACAGTCTTTCATCACTGTGAAATAAGTTGGGCATTCTTCATCACTCAGCATTAACAACTAAATTCGGATTTTAAACACCAATGCGAAATCACTTCTCTTACATCGGTCAGAAACTTGGCTCACACGTGTCTCGAAAAGCATTTCCAACAAGCTACGGAAGACCTTTGTCAACAGGTGCCATCACTAGCTTCATATTGAAGATAAAATGGCTGCCAACGAACCAACCAAGAACCCATCGTTCAACAACTATGTAGGAGAAAATGGAGATGGATTAGACACACTATTTAGAGACCGCGGGAATGGGATACAACGAGTGAGACGTTGGTCGGAGGTTGATTTGGAGGAAATGAAGGCCGATGTGTGGTCGTGGGGCCAGATGAAGAGGACTGCAGAGAATAGGACAAAGTAGAGGTGATCTGTTGAAGGCATATCTTTCATTGTGGAACTCAAGGGAATAATAAAATGAAAATACTGTTTAAAATCATGCAGACAGTTTTGTTTACCTGCCTAAAATGCAGAATTTTTCAATGGTGACGAAAGGCAAGCACTTGGGAGGGGTTATTCTTGGCCTCATTACTGAATGACTGACTGAATTTTCGGCGAGGTGTCTTAGACAAAAAGCTGCAACAGTTCAAGTTGCTACACTTCATAAAAGGACACAAAAATGTAGAAAATAAATGTGTGGTAAAAACAGGAATAATGAATGATCGTGATGGGAAGATGATCATAAGGAGTAAATATATCTGTGCTAATGAGAACAAATTTCAATCAGACATCTCCTTATGAGGTTCAGGCTAAAAGTCATTTCACAGATTTGTACCATTTTTTGCATCTGACCATTCCTGATTCCATCAATCAATATTGCCTATGAAAGAAGGCTACAGTTGGCTGCTATGCATGAACGTCGCCTAGTCAATCACCTTAAGTGATGCAACTTTATAATAACTGCACTAATCGACATTCGCTTCTCATTTATTCTCATTATTGATGACACTGTTATAATTGGCACACGCAGAAACTGGGGATCTAAAACCTCCAGTCTTCTCATTATCATATTCCACTTTCAACAATTGCGATGGCTAGGACTAGAATTATGAATACCAAACCATAACCTTCCTTGTTGTGACCAATGATTGCTGACGTAAGGTTGTTGACCGCGGTCGCCTCTTATTATTATTATTATTGTTCCCTTGGGTTCCTAGTGGAACATAGGGCTTCAACTGCACGTCTCCACTTGTTTCTGTCTCCTGCTGTACTTTTCACCTGCATCCATGTTAGTCCATACTGTTTCAACTCCTCTCCACACGATCTCCTCCATGTCACCCTTGGACGTCCCACTCACCGCTTCCCTTTCGGTGGGTTCCACTCGAGCTATGGCCTGACGCGCGATGTCACCCAGCGGCCTCCTCAGTTCACCGAGTGTCCAATCCATCTCCACTTTCTCCTGCATATTTTTTGGGCGATTGGTTCTTGTTTTGTTTGTTCCCATAGTTTCTTGTTGGTGTTTCTTTCCGGCCATCTGATCTTCAGTATGGAGCGAAGGTCTGCAGCCTGTTGGGAATATTCTTTGTGACACACTGGTCAATTTTCTGATCAGTATAGAAGAACTGACTTGACGTTTGTATTGAAGATCCGAATTTTCTTGTTGATACTGAATGACGAAGATTTCCAGATTGGTTTTAAGTTGATGAATGTTTTTCTCGCCTTCCCGATTCTCGATTTGACATCCTCGTCCGTTCCTCCCTAGATAAGTGAATGAAGTAACACCTCTTCCGAATCCCTCCCGTTGATGGTGATTGGCGCTGGATGTTGCTGCTGCTGTTGTTGTTGTTGGTTGGTTATTTTCATAACCTCCGTCTTGTCTATGTTCACCTGGAGTCCTATCTTCACTGCCTGCTTCTTCCACCAGTTTGTCGGTTTTCGCTTGTAAGTCTTCGATTTTGTGTGACATCAAACATAAATCATCCACGCGCGAAATCCAGGTCTTCTAGGTTCTTCACGTCGGTCCAGGATATCCGTGTCTTCTCGTTTCCCACTGTCTGACGCATAATCCAGTCCACCACAATTAGGAATATGATTGGTGATAATAAGCACCCTTGTCTGACTCCTGTGTTTACTCCAAATGCCTCGCTGAGTTTTCCGTTGTGAATCACTTGACATGTCCCGTTGTCGTACATAAGTAATGTGTTATTCTACGTTAAAGACGTATCATCCATCAAATAAATAACTAGCCGTTATTGTAACTGTAACACATATTATATTTTCTAGTCGTAAGAACCTGAAGAGAAGAATCTATTGAAAAGAATATTCTTCATTCAGATTGACTTTTAAATATCTCCTTATCTTTATTTATTTCAGTCATTCATAATTGTTTGTGTGTGTGTGTAAGTGTCTATGTAAATCCTCGAATTTCTCTTATTTTTCTTAGGATTCGGGTAGTGCAGTACTCACAGATGATGTATCACTTCAAGGTTTTATGGAACATTTGAAAAAGTTGGCAGTCTCTAGTTCTGCATAATCTCTACGCACAGATGAGTGTTTACTTCTTTGAATCTTACGGACAACGTGACAATACTACTACTACTACTACTACTACTACTAATAATAATAATAATAATAATAATAATAATTATAATTATAATAGTACTAATATTAATTTAATGCTCATGGAATACCAATCAATATGTTTTGTTGACTTCCTTATATACTTACATATTTCATTTCTGACATATATATACATAAAAAAGTGATCACACATATGCCGCCATAGCATGTATTTGAATCATTTTATTCGCTTTGTTACTTTTTTGTCTGTTTTAATTTTGTTTTTTGGTTTTATTTACTCTCTTACCTCCTCACTTACTCGCTCGCTCGCTATCCCTGTCCCCACTTTTCCCCATTCCCACGACATGTCCCTCCGCCTCCCCAATCCATATAACACGTAAAGGTGCTAAGGTACTTGTTTTATGAAGAAGTGATTTTGGTTGTTTCTCTTTTGTTTTTTGCGTTCTACTGACATTCTTATTTCAGTAGTACGTACTTTGTATGTAGATATATGCATTGGTTAGTGTGAGTTTGTTTTACTCTAAATCGGGTTTTTATTTCATTTTACGTGTAAATGACATTTATTAAGTTATTTATTAAATTGCATCGTCTTACACAATTACCAAAATGCATACAGCCATGCGCGCACGCGCCCGCACGCGTTTGTGCATACAACAAAAGAAAATAGGCCAAACCATTTCCTACTTATTATTACGTAACTAAGTCGGTTGTTTTTTTTCCTGGTTTTCGTTTGTGTGCACGTCTGTCTGCTGGGTTGGAGATGAAGAATAAAATTTGTTTTCACAAAATAAATTATTATCTTCATTTACATTTAGTTGGATGTCATAACGAACCAATACATGAGTTGATAAGATCATTAAAAAGTAGGGGAGCACTGATTGGATAGTTGTTCCATCATATTTTTGAACTCTTCATTAGTGTCTTTGAATGAAGTTTGTGCTTTGTGCCGAATAAGTGCAAAATACTGTTATAAGATTGGCTCGGAAGAGCCTTTACCTGCACTCAGTCATTCACTCTTTCAGGTTAACTGCTTGAAGTTGTCGAGAAGTTCGTGTATGCGGGTAGTTGTGTGAGTGCTGTCAGATGTGTAACGGACGTGATTTTCAATCGTATCATAAAAGCTAGAGTGGTTTACACTAAATTGAGCCAATTCTGACGACGTTATCCTGGTTGTTGATGGTCAGATTTAGATTTTTCGGTGAGCACCGATTTGCTTTACTCCTGTAAAACCCGTCGTCTCCCAACCGAGGATATGCGGTGACTCTGCGATTCGATCATCGCTGTTTCTGCAGAATTGCTTATGTTCGATGGTATCATTGTGTGAATAATTCTGAAGTCCAGCAGCGTGTGTTTGGAGACAGTTGAGATCACCATTTATTGAATGTTGTCATTTGGAAACACCGACTTCGGCGGCTTGTACATGTACTACCAATGTTACCTGAGAGGCTTCCGTTTCGGTCTCTGTTCGCTGGTCATGGTAATGAATGGAAAAAGCAGAAAGCTGACCAGCCCATGACGTGGAGTCGTGAGATGAAGGATATTTGTGTTAGGCTAGTTTAGGTTGTTGCGTCACGACTCGCAGATCGGGGTCTGAGAGTTAGCTGCAATCGGTGGCTTGAAATGTTATCGGAAATGGCCAAGTATCGCAATCAGTGGTGTACGTGCAGAAATTTCCTTCTCTTTCTGACAATAACTCGACGAATGCTGTTTAGTCTTGTTAAATATAACTGCTTTCTTCCCATACTAAGTCCCTTATTCATTCTCTACCCATTTGTTTTCATATGTTGTTGTAGTATTATTATTATTCTCGTATGGCCCATCTTCTTGCTGCCTGTACTATACCAGGTTTTGTGTTTTGAATAAAATGAACGAATAACTCTTCAACAGTTTGCACCCACGACCCCTTCTTCCAACTAGGAATCAAGCCTGTGATAAAGACTAAACTCGTTGACTATTCAGTCATTTGGATGGGAATTCAATAACCCATGAATTCTAACTTTGTCAATTCGTGACTTAGCGCTACCCTTAACCAATCGCCTTCGATGAGCATCCACGTTACCTTGACAAAATTGTGAACCTCAATGCTCACAACTTCTCACTCCAGCTTCATGACACACATCCAGTGGCCATCAATGAACTAAAAATGGATATATTTACCCTATGAGATATGAAGAAATTTAATTTCTCATTGCATCATGAACCGAATTCCGTTAGGAGGATCATTGAACACCTGTTTTGTCCTATTTCGGGACTCTTCATCACTACTCACTCGTATGGTTGAATGGTCTACGAGCTCCTCTTGTAGCTGGAAGGCCTTGGATTCGAATCTCGACGAGTGCGTACTACTGATAAAGAGTCTCAGACTAAGACAAGACAGAGCTTCCTAGTACTCCCTGGTTTCCCAATAGTTCTATAACTATGATGTCAACTTCTCGTCGAACCTACATACAACTCATCAAGTGAGTGTATATGCATCTTTAGTGAGTGAAGGTGTCTAGGGCTCTGATGAGTCCCAAGTAGGACGAAATGCGCATCCTGTATTCCACTGCCAACTATCATTAGCCGAACAATATCACTTAAACTACCAGATATCATTGAAGTCTTTTATGTCCTAGGAGAAGGCATGTCAATAACAACCGAGGATTTCGTCTCAATATCATTTAATTAATAGGGAATACAAAATAACTTAGATAAATAAAAATTGTTACTCAGGAATTTTGCTCATAGTACTTAGTGCTTCTAACACAATTAACGTTAATTCTAATAATGATAAATATTGTGATTGATAGTTGGACGATTAATTCAGCATCTTTGTTGATGTATTCTGTGAAACGGAAAGTGAACATTTATCGCTGTAACGACAATGCTAATCAAAAATTGTATCTACTCGAGCTGTGGATTTATATTGTACGTTTAAAATATGTATGTATCAAGACTCAGGTGTTTCGTATTCACTTAACTGTGGTCAATGTGTGTTATTGAACCTATGAGTATAAGGAATTTCTGTGCGATACTTTCCATGGGCAAAGAGTTCATTGTTTAACTAGATTCCGGTTGACATTCATGTAAGTTCTGTCTGTTTAAGGAAATATCGTCATCCTAATGTATATCAGTACTTTTTTCCTCTGTGGTCTTTAAGGCAAATAAACTAGTATGGGAGTGAAAATAATGTTTTCACCTCCCTAAATGTATTAGCTTTGGTTATTGAGTTAAAGCGTCATGAAGGAATTCTTTGCAGGATAGTAGGTATGTAACGACAGAAGACAAGGGTCAGGCAACAGATCGTTTATTGAGAAAATCAATATATATATATATATTTTTATGTACATCACTATTCATTATTATTAGCAGAGAAGCAACGCATTCTGATTGGTTGTTTTCTTGTTGAAGGTTATTCTGTACTGCTTGATATGATTTTGACCAATAGATTGTGCTCGAAACGTCATCAGTTAATATTACTGTATAAAATTGTGTGATTTATCAAAATAAAATCTTATCTATAGTGGAGAATATACAACTGTTGAAGAAAATTGTTTTCACTATGCTTCGCTGAAGCGGTCAGGCCTCATCATGACTAGCTCAGCTTACTATTTCTTCAAGGAAATCTATACACTTTAGCTATATCATTTTTCACCAACGGTATTGCATCTTATCCCCCAGGGATGAAGCATATTGCATTTAATTCTGAATGTATATTCCTTCAGTGAAGAAACTGGTATCCAATTGTATCATTTCTTTTCAAAAGTTATCTTTTTAGGGATTTGATTTTGTTTCGATTGTGACTACGGATTGGGATATCAGTTAGAGGAACAACCAAGAGTCTATTGATCAACAAATATGTAGGAGAAAATGGAGATGGATCGGACATACGTCACTGAAGAGGCCGTCAAATGACATCGCGCAATACTCCCTCAAAAGGCACCCTAATGGGAAGCGACAAATTGCGCGTGGTGGGTCTGATATTGACATGAAGGAGATGAGATTGTGGGCAGTCGTGAACATAGTTGAAGAGGACAGCAGAGAAAAGAAGAAAGTGGAGATGTGTTGTTGAAGCCCTATGTTCCACTGGGAACCCAAGGGAATAATAAATATTTATAAGAGAACCGACAGGGAGTACTGGACACCTGTTTTGTTCTACTACTTGGTACTTATCGGTAGCATTCACTGGAGTTTGAAACCAGCACCTTCCGATCACAAATCAAGCTAGCTCGTAAACCATTCAGTCATTTGGACCAAATTCAATGACGCATCATTTCTTACACTATACAGATACTAATTACTGTGTACTTGTAGTTGCACGAATATTGTCTACCACTGCGATTATACACGTTTAAACACGAAATAAATCTTCTACTGAATGGTTTCAACATAGAGATTTGCACCGATATGCAGTAGTTCGAGTCGCCACACTTCACTTGGCACACAAAGCAAGAGAAGAAAGTAAGAAGGAATTCAAAATATTGACAGCAAACAGAGATATGAATTAAAAAGAATAGTAATGTCGAAGAACAAGATAGTTTTATTGGGTATTGAGTCACAAGGAGTGGATGCATCTTCGCCATTCATTGATAACGAGGATTTTGAGCCATATCACTGACTGTCTCCAGGCATTGGTGTTTATCATCAAGGATACCCCAACCAGACAGAAGTCCACACCTTCCTACGTGGATTAAACTAACTGTTGTGCATTTCATTGACTGATGAAATAATAATGCCACTGGCCTTTTCTTTTCCAACCTGATCCATCGTATGTCAGCTAACATTCCTCGTCGAGGAAGGCAACGGTTAGGATGCATGCGTAACACATATTCTAACCATCTTAGTCGATGTAGCTTCACAGCTTCGTCGATTCATTTCCCCTCCTTACCTAGCACTCGATGCTCACCCTATCATACTGTGGTGAGAGCTGTCTACTAGCCAAATTGGTAGACAGTAATTTACGTCAATATTTACGTTCCCAAGATTTGTCGTGAGAAACAACCAATCGGAAGACTGTGTTTGTTTGTTTACATATCCATAGTAATGTACATG